AGGGGGCGCGCTGGGGGTGGGGGCCCACCGCGGTCTCCATACGCGCCACTGTCGCAGCAGGCGTGGCACTTCCTCGACACCAGAGGGAGTGCGCTGGGGGGTGGGGGCCCACCGCGGTCTCTATACGCGCCAATGTCGCAGGGCCTAGCAGGCGTGGCATTTCCTCGACGCCACAGGGGTGCGCTGGGGGTGGGGGCCCACCGCGGTCTTTATACGCGCAACGTCGCAGGGCCCAGCAGGCGTGGCATTTCCTCGACGCCAAGGGGGTGCGCTGGGGGTGGGGGCCCACCGCGGTCTCTATACGCGCCAATGTCGCAGGGCCTAGCAGGAGTGGCACTTTCCTCGACGCCACAGGGGTGCGCTGGGGGTGGGGGCCCACCGCGGTCTCTATACGCGCCAATGTCGCAGGGCCTAGCAGGCGTGGCACCTTCTCGACGCCACAGGGGGTGCGCTGGGGGTGGGGGCCCACCGCGGTCTCTATACGCGTCAATGTCGCAGGGCCTAGCGGGCGTGGCACTTCCTCGACGCCACAGGGGGTGCGTTGGGGGTGGGGGCCCACCGCGGTCTCTATACGCGCCAATGTCGGAGGGCCCAGCAGGAGTGGCACTTGCCTCGACGCCAAAGGGGTGCGCTGGGGGTGGGGGCCCACCGCGGTCTCTATACGCGCCAATGTCGCAGGGCCTAAGAGGAGTGGCACTTTCCTCGACGCCAAAGGGGGGGCGCTGGGGGTGGGGGCCCACCGCGGTCTCTATACGCGCCAATGTCGCAGGGCCCAGCAGGCGTGGCACCTTCTCGACGCCACAGGGGGGGCGCTGGGGGTGGGGGCCCACCGCGGTCTCTATACGCGTCAATGTCGCAGGGCCTAGCGGGCGTGGCACGTCCTCGACGCCACAGGGGGTGCGTTGGGGGTGGGGGCCCACCGCGGTCTCTACACGCGCCAATGTCGCAGGGCCCAGCAGGAGTGGCACTTGCCTCGACGCCAAGGGGGGTGCGCTGGGGGTCGGGGCCCACCGCGGTTCCATACGCGCCAATGTCGCAGGGCCCAGCAGGCGTGGCACTTTCTCGACACCGGAGGAGTGCGCTGCAAGCTCCCAGGGCGTGGCAGGCGTGGCATTTCCTCGACGCCACAAGGGGTGCGCTGGGGGTGGGGGCCCTGTGCGTTGCAGGCTCCCAGGGCGTGGCAGGCGTGGCATTTCCTCGACCGAACAACGACGACGACGACGAGTACGAAGACGACGAGTACGACGACGAGTACGACAACGAGTGCGACGACGAGTACGACGAGTACGACGACGAGTGCGACGAGTACGACGACGACGCTCAGTACGCTCAGTACGACGACGCTTGTTTGTCTGGTCGGTCTGGTTGGCGTGGTCTGGTTGGTCTGTTCTTGTTGGTCTGGTCTAGTTGGTGTGCTTGGTTGGCCTGGTTGGCTCGTGTGGGTAGTCCGGCTGATTCTGGCTGCGGTTGTTGGCGTGACTAGTATGGTTGGTCTGGCTGATCTGCTTGATTGGCATGGCTGGCTGGTCTGATTACTTTCGCTGGTTATGGCTGGAACGAATGATCTGGCTGGTCTGGTCAGTCTGGCTGGTCTGGCTGATCTGGCTGGTCTGGTCAGTCTCTCGTCAGGATGGCGAAGCGAGATGTGACATGGTTTGTGAACACACGTGACATAAAATAAGTATGTGGGGTTCCTCGGTAGCGTAATTAATTACTCTGCGGTTGCTGCGGATGAGGATGAGGCATGATAATATGACGGCTATTGTGGTAGGATGGATGGTGATTGTGATGGTTGGTGATGGCCATGGATATGGTGATTGTGATGATGCGGTGATCATGACGGTGATGACGACGGCGATGCTGATAAGAATGGTGATGGTGATGATGGCTTTGATGATGACGAGAAGGTGATTGAGGGATTGTTGGAGGGGAATGCTGGCGAGGCGGAGCAGGGGCAGCACGGGCAGGAACAGACGGGGGCAGGACAGCGTGAACAGGAGGAGGACGGGCAAGAACGTCTGGGAGCAGCCTGACCGGGAGGGGCGCGAGCAAAGAGCTGGAGCACGAATCGGTTGGATGAGCTGAATTAGGTAGGAGGAGGAGAGGAGGACGAGGAGGAGGAAGAGGAGGAGGAGGAGTACGAGGAAGAGGACGGAAAAAAAGAGGAACGGGAAAGGAGGAGGAAACAGAGGAGGAGGAGGAAGAGGACTAGCAGCGCAGCGCGCGGAGGACTCGCCGATACGTCGGTCGCGGCGCAAGGAGGGCCCCGCTCCCCCCCCTCCCGCCCCGCTTTCTAAGCGCCCCCTCTGAGTTTCGTGGCGCCACTGTGCGAGAAACTTCGAAGTGCGCCGACACATCCATAATCTCGAGAAATACATAACGAGACGGAGGTTTTCCCAGCCGTTCCCGGTCTTAGAGCGCCGTTTTCGGTCCCCGGACCGTTCGAATAATGATATTCGATATTGTAGAAGGGGAGGTATTTCCAGACACCTTATGTTGAAGTAGATCAAAGCATCCAGTATGTTGCTCGGTTTGTGTGAGTTGTTGCAGGTCCCCTCAGTTTTACTAAAAGGAGTTTGCTCTGTTGGTTTGTCCTCTTCCTCTGCGTCTGTTGCGGGGCTTCTCGGGGGCCTCCCGGTGGTCTCTCGGGGCATTGGGGGCGGCTTTGGTTTTTTCATGGATCCGCCCTTGGAGCATGTTGGGGGCATGTTCGGCGTCTTGGGGGATCTTTTGTAGGGAGGGCTGCCAGGGTCCCTCCAAGTTTCCTCTCTGGAGCCACTCTTACCCTTCTTGGGCCCTCCTGGACGTTTTTGAGCCGTCTTGCAGGCCCCTTGGGCAGTCTTGGGGCCCTCTTGTGGAATATCTATCTGGGTCCTCTTGTGGGTCTTTTCGGCCGTCTGTGAACAGTCTGGGGAGGCTTCTTGGGAAGTCTCGGGCGTTCATTTCAGATCTTCGAAGTGGCTAGAAAAGCGATAACGATTTAATCACATAGTATGGACAGTCAATCTGTTTTGTCTCATGAGGCTGTCTTTTGTGCCAGGGGCTCTCTCTGAGTGCATTCGGAGCCTCTTGAGCTGTCCTGAGGCCATCTAGGATGTCGTGGAGGCTTCTCCAGCCCTTAGAGACCTTCTCGAGCGATCTTAAGAGGGCACCTTGGCCATCGTGGAGACCGCGGAGGGTTGGATTTGCAGGCTCCGAGGGCCCAGGAGGTGCGACTTTGAGTTCGTCGACCGAGAGGCAAGTGCCTTACACGCATTTTGACCCCCGACAGGCGAGGGCCGGCGGATTTGCGCTTCTTGGCGCCTTCAGCCCTTTCTTTCTTTTGTCGGCTTCTGGTTTGAAGCGGCCATGGGGTCTGCGCTGGGCGGGCCCCGAGAAGATCGGTCCAGAGGGTACGATAGGTCCGCGTCGCGTCGACCAGCGGCGACCCCGCCGCGGGCGTTCAACGTTGAGCGCCGCCAGCGACCCAACATCGGTCGATGTTGAACAATATGACGTTTCGGAAACAGCCAACAGTTCAAGGTTGGATCCCCGCGGTGTCAGGAACCAACGCCAGGGTCGTCACGACACGAACCCACCGTAGGGACGAGGGGATATCCACTCAAAGTCAGTTCCTGGACCTCTCCCGGGGCCGAAACGGATTGACTTCTTGCAGTGTCCAGCCGCGTCGACGAGAGGCTCCCTCTCTGCTGGCTGGAACCAGTGTTGGGCCACCTCAGCTCGGCCACGCGCAGAAGGGCGTATGGGGAGGGGGGGAGGCTTCTTAAATGGAGGCTGCTGCTTCTTGGAAAGTGCGGGCCCTGTCTACAGATTTAAGGCCACCTCCTTCTAAGAAGCAGGCTCCTCCTAGAAGTCCTCCCCCCTCCCCGGCCAGCTCCAAGGTTCTGCAGGCCTCCAGGAGCTTGCGGGGGACATCCAGGGAGCCCCGCAGATCCTCGGATACGGGCGCAGTGAAAAACAAGACTACCCGAGCTTTTTTGTTACCGTTCTCGGGCCCGGAGGTTGTCACAGGTCGATCGGTCACTGGGGAGCCAGCGTAAGGATTGAGCCGAGAGATCTGGTCGTGAGTTGTTCAATTCAAATTCGAAGGAGAAAACACGGCATAACAATAAATTGTCGGAGCTCCGCGCCGATCCCTTGGATCGGCGTTGGGCTCCCCTGGCGGTGCCTCTGGCGCCGCCTTTGGCGCGCTCCGCGCGCCAGGGAGGGCCCATCGTCGATCCAAGAAGTCCGCGCAGAGTTCCGGAAGTTTTATTCCCCCACATCCCAAGTGGGTTCCTTGATTTCTCTGGACACCCCGCGCAGTCCTCCTGCTCACCCCCTCTCCTTCTCACACACTCACACACCATCATCATCCTCATCATCATCATCATCATAATCATCATCATCATCATCATCATCATCATCATCATCATCATCATCATCATCATCATCATCATCATCATCATCAACATCACAAAGTGCCGTCCACCCTATTTACGTTCGCTCCACGGAGGCGCTGGACCTCTGCCCGCTGGCGGGCGGCTGCCAGCCGAAGCCGACCCTGAAGCTGCCGACCATACCACTGCAGCTGCTGAAGTCTCTCTGCAAGACGCTCAATCTGCTGACGCTGGTGTTAACTCCGCTGGTGTCGTGCTGCACGCTCTGCCTGTTCGACGTTCCGGCGTTCATGCCGTTGGTGTCATTGCCGATCCATTGCATGACCCCCAAGCCGTTCACTTGGCCGGCGCTGATGCTAGCCGCGCTGGTGTCGTCGCTGATGTTGTTCTGCACGCTCGTCCTGCTCATAGATCCGAATCTCGTGTCGATGGTGATGTGCCTGCTGGCGCTTGTTTGCATTACGTTGCCGTTGGTGGCGATCGTATTCCTCCCCCTGCTGTCGATGCTGATGGCGTTCCGCACGCTCTACCTGTCCGAACTGCTGGCGGTCACCGCGGAGGTGGGTAGCCAAGGCCGTTCTACCGTTGCTTCGACGCGTGTGCAATCGCTGCCGCTGGTGGTGAACGACCCCGACCCGAAGACCGCGTTTTGCATGACGCTGCCGCTTCTGGCGAACGTCTCCGACCAGAGAATCACGTCCCGCATGGTGCTGCCGCTGGAGGTGCCCAACCCCTTCGCGTTGAACGAGTTCCGCATGACGCTGCCACTGGCGGCGAAAGCTTCCATCACAACCTGTACGATGCCGCTGCTGGTGGCGCACAACCCCATCACCCCGAACGTGGTCCGCTTCACGCTGCCGATGGTGGCGAACGTCTTCGTCCCGAAGACCACGTCCTGCATGATGCTGCCAACGGTGGCGAACTTCCCCTCAGGCTGAACGGGGTCCACATACCGCTGCCGTTGGTGGCGAACGACCCCGTCTCGATGATCACATTCTGCATGTTGCTGCCACTGGTGGCGAACAACCTCCCTCCGATGAGCGAGACTCGCATGACTTTGCCGCTGGTGGCGAACGACCCTGTCGTGAAGATCCCGTCATGCATGATGCTGAGGACATTGGTGTCGAGGCGCACCCTGTGCATCCGCCTGATGGTGCTCGCCCTGACCTCTGCCCGAGCTGCTTCGACGCGCGCGCGCTGCAGATGAGACCCCCTTTTCTGAGGCCGTTCCCGATACCAGTCGCGTCGGCGTAGCTAGCCATGTGCATTCAGTCTTGCGCACCCCACTCCGCTCTTCCCCGTCTTGGTTGTCCCCGCTTCGCTCCCCTCCTGTTTCTCCTATATGGCGTCCGTCCGTATCGCCTTTGCCCCAGATCCCGCCTTTATATATATATATATTAAAAAAAGGATGCTCTGCATGACAACAAGAAGATGAAGACTACGAGCGCGCACTCCTTGGCACTGGCCGCAACGAGTACCGCAACCACAAAGTTACAACACGAGTAAGCAGGAGCGCGCTTCTTGCCCTCGTCTCGCTTCGTGTCCTCTTGCCATCGTCTCTTCTGTTTCCGGGCACGGTCATCATCCGCATCACAATCACCACCGTCACCAGCATCATCAGCAGCATCAGCATCGTCATCATCTCTACCTTCTTCAGCATAGTCGTCGTCATCGTCATCGTCGTTATCATCATCTTCGTCACGATCATCACAATCACCCCCAGCTGTCATCCCATTATTTTTTCACCCTTCATCATCATCCACTCACTCTTTCATTCAGCCACGTTCTCCAATCACTCACTCGTCACCACGTCATAAGCCCATCAGGACCATCGGACATCAGCATCATCGTCGTCATCTGGGTCATCACCGGCACACCACCATCGTCAGCACTGTCACCATCCCATCACGTTCATCGACCAACAAGGGCCTCGTCTGTGAGCCAATCGCTAGGACGTGTCGAGCGGGAGCCCCGTCCCTATGCGGTCCGCTTTTCACGTTGGTAATCCGAGCGGGCATTCGGGTCCTTGTAACCGTCGTCACTCTTCGGCTCCTCTGCATTGAAAGGGGAGGAAGTCTCGAGCGGGAGTTCTGCCTGTGAGAGAAATGCGAGGAGGTCTTAGGGGAGAGCCCTCTTCCTATGGGGTCCGCGCTCTATGCTTGTATTCCTAGCGGGCCATCGGGACCCTATAACCGTCGTCATTTTTCGGCTCCTGTGAACTGAATATGCAGGAAGTCTCGAGCGGGAACTTTCTCTGTGAGTGAATTGCGAGGAAGTCTCTGGCGGAACCCCCTTCCCTATGGGGTCCGCGCTTCATGTCGGCAATCCGAGCGGGCTATCAGAACTTCATGACAGTCGTCACTTTTTCGGCTCCTCTGGGTTGAGCATGGCAGAAGTCTCGAGCGGGAGCTTTGTCTGTGAGTGAATCGCGAAAAAAACTTCAGTCGTGAGCCCCCACCATATGGGGTCCGCATTTCATGTCGGCAATCCGAGCGGGTCATCGAAACCGCATAACCTTCGTCACGTTTCGGTTCTCCCGGATTGAATATGGAGGAAATTCGGGCTCCTCAGGTCTGAGTATGAAAGAAGCCTCAGATCAGAGTCTCGTATGTGCGTGAATTGCGAGGGAATCTCAGGCGGGAGCCTCCTGCCTATGGGTTCCGTGCCTCTTGTATTAATCCGAGCGGGTCACCGGAGCTTCGCAGCTGTTGTCAGTTTTGGGTTTTTGCGGCTTGAGTGCGGAGGAACTATAAGGCGGGAGCCTCGTCTGTGAGTGGATTTCAAGGAAAATCAAGGGGAACCCCCTGCCGAAGGGTCCCGCTTTTCGCGTTTTTAATCCTAGCGGGTCATCGGAAACATGGAATTGTTGTCTTCTCGTGGAATCCGAGCGGGCCGCCGGCAAACCTGCAACCTGGAATCCTCGACCAGGGGAGCTCCCTGGGGGACGGAGGGGGCGGAGTCGGGGAGGGGAGGGGGAAAAAGGGGAGAGAGGAAAATATCAAGGGAAGGCCCCAGATGATAGGAGGTCCCAGGAACAATTATAAAGGAGGACGACGGCGGCTGGGCGCAGGGAGAACCTTTGAGTCTGGGCTGGAGGTGGTAACCCATCCTCGGCCGAATCGGCGGCAGGGGGAAACCGTAATCTCCGGGCTGGCGGTGATAACCCATCGTCAGCAGAAACGGGGGCAGGAGGAAACCTTTGCGTCCAGGCTGGGGGTGGTAACCCATCCTCGGCAAAAGCTTGGGCACGGGGAAGCCCTTGTCTCCAGGCTAGCGGTGGAAACACATCGTCAGCCGAATCGGGCGCAGGGGGAAATCTTTGCGTCCGGGGTGGCGGTTGTAATTAACCCATTGTCAGCCGAATCGGGCGCAGGGTGGAACCTTTGCGTCCAGGTGGGGGTGGTCGCCCATGCTCAGCCGACACGTGCGCAGGAGGAATAATTTGCGGCCAGGGCCCGGGTGGTAGCCCATCCGCGCCCAAAACCAGGCCCCACAAAAACCGCCCTGCGTTCATATCATGTCTCGCGTCCGCCTGAGCCACTACATGGCGCATGGCCCACGAGACGGTTGCCGGCGCGTTCGGCCTCCGACTGCGGCGCTTGGGTGGCGGGCGCCAGCGCCGAGCGTGCTGGGTCTGAATGAAGCGCCGGTTTTGAAGCCACTGCGTTGGCCACGGCGCGACCAGCCGATTTTCCAAATTGTCCACTTGTGCGGACGGTCTGGTTTGTAGTTCCTGTAGCTCGCAGCAGAGCTGGACTTTGTGCTGCCACCCGCCTGAGCGCGGTGGCGCCCCACTCGAAGCCCGCGGGGTTGCCCCAACGGCTTCGCGATGTGGCCATTCGAGAGAGTGCACGTGCTGGCCGAGGCAGCGACGGCGCCGAGGAACATCGGCATGCGCGGTCTTGCAACAGACAGGGAAGAAAGTGGCGGGGTGCAAACACAAAACAGGAAGGCGAGCAAGGGGCACTGTAGGGAGCGGGAGGAGGGCCTGCGCCAGGGCGAAAACGAAAATTACGCACAGGAGACAGTAAGGACGCTTCACCAATCACGAGGACGACGGAGAGGGCTATTTCCATATTAGCCGAACGGATTTTCATGCGGGGTCCTACCGTCGGAGTAGTTATGAAGTTTGCTTGATATCATCTGAACGGCGACTTGACCCCTTCGACTCCGGAGCTCGGGGTACGAAGCGGGTGCGGGTGGGTGGGGAGGGGGATGATGATGATGATGATGATGGTGATGCTGATGATGATGATGATGATGATGGTGATGATGATGATGATGATGATGATGATGATGATGATGATGATGATGATGATGATGATGATGATGGTGGTGAGGAGGAGGAGGAGGAGGAGGACATGGAGGGAAGGGTTGAGGATAAAAGGAGAAAGGGGTATCGGTTCGAGGAGGAGGAGGGGCGCGAGTTGGGAGGAGTAGGGAGGCGCTCGCCTTTCCCTTTTGTCCATCGCTTATGTTTCTCCTCGCCCCTGGAACTCTTCGCTCCTCGCCCATGCATCCTTCCGCCTCTTTCCTTGTTCCTGCTCGTGTTCCGTTTCCTGGTCCTCGTTAATTTTCGCCTTCTCCTGCTTTTCGCCCCTGTTCTTACCCCTCCCTCCGCGCCCTACTGCTGTACATCACATGGTATGGTTGCTCTGCTGGTTCCTGCTCCCGTTTGGGACTCTGTCTTCTTTGGGACTCTGAAAGACTATATACACGTGCGTCTATCTATACATGTTATATCACGATGCGGCTTGCGCACGGCCGTACGCGACCCGCGTACTGTTTCTGCACCTGTTGCTGGTCCTCCTTGCAGACCAGCCCCTTGCTCCTCATATACAGTTGCCGTCCTGCTGGTGCGCCTGATTTAGCTCGACCTCCCATCCCTGCCCTGGTTTCCCGCCTGCCTCTTGCACAAAGCCTGGCACACTTCCAACAGCAACACGCGCATGGGGTCGCCTGACCAGCGTGGCACGGGCACTGCTCCTGCCCTCCAGTCCTCGGCTCCCGTTCTCGCTCCCCCGCCGGCGGAGATCCCGCGGGGGCCACGCGCCCGGGCGACCACCAGGAGTCCGCCGACAGCCCGCGCCGCAAGCTCGGGGTCCACCAGGACTACGACCGCGTCTTCTTCATGGCCGCGTTCCGCCTCCTGCCTCCCCGAGAGTTGTCGGTTTCTGGGGTCGGGACCTTCTTGGAGCTGCGCGGCGGTCCCTGCCACCCTCGCGTCGTTGCACAAGCACAACGGAAGGTCTTCGCCAATCTTCGGCTTCGGGAGCCCTCACAGGGCCCCAGGATCGTCAAGAAACGATTTAGGATGAAAAGCAAGTCCCAAGGAAGGGGTCCAGACGTATGGGGAACCCCGTTGTGAGAATCACGACGTCCGATGCCTTCTTCATGGCCGCGATCTTGCCTCCTGCTTCTGGGGAAGTGTCACCGTCGCCCCCCAGATTCGATCGTGGACCCCTTTTTGGCCGCCACCTCTCAGCTTTCGCGCCGAAGACCGCCAGAAACCGCCAAAGACCACCGACTACCGCCGAATATTGTCAGAAGACCGACAAAGACCGCCGAAGACTGTCAGAAGACCGTTATAATGCCGCCGAAGACAGCCCAAGGCCGGTGGGCAAGAAGGGGTCCCATGGTACACAGCCCAGACTTCGGGCGGATTGATTTTTCGATACCGGGTGGTTGTTCCTCCATTTCTGCCTCCCGGGTTCGCTCTCGGCCCCCCGGGCCACTAAGAGTGGGCCCAGGACGAGCTAGTCAAGCTGCTGCCGCAGGGCTCGAGACCTTCGGGGCTTGCGGATTGCTGGGTCACCGTTTCCGGCCTAGGTTAGGCTTTGCGGCGCTTTTCTGTTCTTCGCGGCTTTGGGAGCGCCATTGGCTTCCCGCAAGGCTCGTGTCGAGATTCTAGATCACCTGCGGGGCCGCGAAGATTACAGCGATTCGCGCATCGCTGCCTGGGTTGAACAGCTGGCCTTCTCCAGGGGGCGAAGGTAACTGCACATCGCGGGGCGCGGTGCGCGAAGTTCGGTGACCTAGTCGATTCTGGTCGGATCGCACTTCAGGAGAGAGGTCTGGGGGTCGAGTCTGACTGTGGCAGGGCCCGGGCCTCCTGCGCGTCACGAGCATATTTTTCGGCAAGTTGTTTGTTGTTTGTCTGCGGGTCAGTTTGCGTGATTGCGTTTTTCCGTTCCGTATTTGTGAGTGCCTCTGTGCCTTCGACGTGCATTGCGCGCTCTGCCTCTCTCTGTCTCTCTCTCCCTCTCGAACATGGAGCCCGTGCAGGACTGTGCTGGGCACGCAGAGGCCGCAGACAAGAAGACGACCCTTGATGGAGGCTGCCCTGGCGATCGGAGGAAGGAGGAGGTGACACCATCACCTCCAGCGAGGGGGTTTACTATGTCCACGATGTCTCCCGGGCTGGGGATGGGGGAGACGACACCACCAGGAGGACCCTCCCTGGCGCCTCGCGCTGGTGGTGGCAGTGTCACCATTCCTTGTTCTCATGCGAGGGGGTCGGCCCCATGGCTTGAAAACGAAGGCACGACGCTGGAGGCTTTGCGAGCTCCCATTCGGAGCAGGCCGCCGAGACGGCACGGCGTGGGTGCGGCGACAGCATCAGCGACCGTTACCAGCATGCCACGTGGACGCGGGTTCAGGAACAGTGACCAGAGAAGTGCACCTCGAGCCTAAATATCCCCCCCACTGGCGTCGCCACAGATGGGGGTCGTCGACCTCGTCGTCGCGGTCGGAGACGGAGCAGGGAGAGGCCCGTGTCGACGCGCCTGAGCGCGCATGATGGGAGGTGGCAGGTTGTTCGACTCGATTCCCAAGACAGCGCTTGCACTGGTAAGGGTTCTTGCTCGAGTTGGATTGGGGTACCCGGGTTTCGCCTGGCGCCTGGTTGGTGGGCGCCTCGTGGGCGCCTCCTGTGGGGCGGGTGTGTCGAGATTTTACCTGGTGCTCGCCAGTAGCCCAGGCGCGCCTCGTGGGTGCACTGGCGCGACGAAGTGTAGTGCACGACGGTGCGGCGACCGTGTGGGCCGCACACCGATGCACCCCTGACCGTGGACACATCTGCGCCGTGGGCACCTCTGCGGTATACCGTGGTGAAAAACATGCACCGCTCGTGGGCACAGTGCGCGCTGTCCGCCACGGAAAATGAATCCAATGGTACCCCTGACATTCTCGCGCCGTGAAGCAATCACAGCGCAAGGTGGTTGCCCTATTTGGGATTGGGGATCCACACCAGGCCTGGTGATTGTAACGACTCAAGGGTGAAAAGCGATTCCAGGGAAGTGGTCCAGACCTCGGGGAAGCCACGTCGTGAAAAAACTCTGCGTCGGCTGTCTGGAATCGGACTATCCTTGGCCGATGTCGCTGGTCCCCCACCCCCGGGGGACATCCTCGCGCCCCGGAGCCATGCCGAAAACGACGAAGGGCTGCCGGGGCTGAAAGAATCAGTCCTCCGGACATGCTTGGGCCTGCATCTTAGGATGCCATTCTTGGGAGGTCAAATTCAGCATCAGGGCTCGTGTATCCGTGATCGAAAACGTGCATGATCCAGCTTAGTCCCTTTAAACCTGGCTCGATCCCCTTGAATCTGGCTTATCCCTGAGCTTCAGTCCGGCCGAATCTGGCTCAATGGCCCCTCCATCGAGCTTCATAAACCCTTACTAGTTTTTGCGAAGAGCGCCAGTTGCCTCGTGATTCAGGGCAGCCGCGAAGGCTCAAAGTCACTCGCGATTCCTCATTCTCATCCTCCCCGTTTTCCTTTTCTTCCTTGGAGGCGTGGCGCGAGAGCGCGAAGTTATTCGCGCTTCGCGAAGCGCGAAGGGAGAAGCGCGAACCTAGCTTCCTCACGACGGTGCGACGACCATACTGGGCCGCTCGTCGTTCTGCTTCCCGCTGCAGGGCGACCTCAACGCGCGGGTGAACGCCACGCGGGCGGACGTGGACGACTGGCTCGCCCAAGGGCGCCCCCGCCGCGCGCCTCCCCTTGGGGGCAGGCTCAGGGTGGGTTCGACAACTTCGAGTTTCGAGGTTCGAAGATCGAGGTGTCCGGACGTGCTCGTCGGCTCTGGGTGGTTTTCCAACCTCGGGGTGCTATCCAGCAGCTGCGCCTCGCCGAGGGTGTTCGGGGGTCCCGAACGGCCGCCAGGGAGCCGAGTTATGACCCGATGATCAAGGTGCAACGTCAGGGGGGATGGGCTCAGAGGGGGACACGCGGCTGGATTCGCATCGGAATCCTGGTCAGAACGCATCCCTGGAAAGGTCCGCGGCGCGCTGAAAGCCTCATAAAGCTCCCGAAACCATTCGGGGGCCGACGACCTCCGACGAGGTTCGGGGGCTTTCGAAGGCCGCCTTAACCAGGATCCTGAGGCGGAGTCAGCTCAGGAGACGAGGGCGCCTCAGGAGACCCAACAAATTGCCAGAAACGCACAACACCTGGATCTTCGACCCTTCGAGCCTCGAGCCTCATCCCCTCGAAGCCATCCTTCGTAGGTCGCCATCGGGAAGTGCGGAGCCGCGGGGCAACCATGCGCAGTGCGCGGTGGCGACAGCGAGCCCGAGATGGAGAGGCGAGTCAGGAAGCAGTCGATGTTGAAGCAGTTCCCCTGAGCGCTGTGACGCGCGCCCACGTCCGGCCCACTGTAAGGCCTTGCCGCGGCCCTTGCAGGAATGACATCCAAGAAGCCGTCCTCGTCCAGACGGGGCGGGTCGCAATTCAAATCGCCAGCGGCGTCACAAAGGGCCTGGTCCAACCACGAAGCGCCATCGCAGCGTCGAATCGCCTGGAGGTATGGACGCCAGTTGCCCGCTGGCCCACCTCGAATCATGCTGACGCCAGGATCCAGCCACCTCCGATGCCGAAGTCCGCGTGCCAAGCCACCGCGAAGCTCGGCGCCACATCAAGACTGCTTAGCCCAGGCAAGGTGGTGGCACCGATGTGCCGTCCGACGAAGGTGCCCACGCCAGCGGAGGGCATGCCCGAGCCCAGCCGTCTGCAAGGCGACAGCGTTGCGTGCCAGCCTGTCCGCGCAGCCGAGCCCTCCACGCGACGGAGCTCGCCGCCGTCCACGCGGAGCTCCCGGGCCGCCACAGCGAGGACATGCTGCTCGCAGTGTTCCGGGAAGTGGCGGCTCGTGCTCCGCGACGATCCGTTGAAAGTGACCTGGCCAGCGCTCCGCCGCGCACCGCCCCAGCGGCCTCGCCCTCTTAGTCGCCAATGTCCGCCATGCCGACGTCCTCCCATGCCGTGGCGGCGGTTCCCCCGCCAGCGCGAAGGGCGGCCGCGCCCGGGCTGGGGGTCGCAGGGGCAGGCGCTCCAGGCGCGGCTGACGGGCAGCGTCACCGCGGGCGCCTTTAACAACACGGGGGGTAGGCGGGGCAGCACCAGGCGCGGGCGCCGCGGCAGCTGGCGCTGGCGGCCGCGGACCGCCCGCAGCGGTGGCGGGGGGGGGGGGCCAGGGGTCCGCGGGGGCGGCCACGAGGGGGGCACTGGCCTGCAAGGCGCTGGCCGCAGGAAAGGCCGCGCCAGTGGCCAGCACCTGGCTGCCGCTGGCCTCCAGGGCGTCCGCGCCGTGGCCGCTGGCGACGCGCGCGGGGGCGGCGCTGAGGATGGCCTGAAGGCCGACCAGCGTGGAGGTGATGTTCGCCAAGTCGACCGCGCTGCTCCCTTCGGCTGAGGCGGCGACCGCGCGCTGGGCAGCCGCGACCTCCGCGTCCAGCGTGGCGACCTCCGCGGCGCAGGCGGCCTGCTGCTGGCGGAGGCGGTCCACGGCGGCCTGAGCCTCTGCCAGGAAGGCAGCCACTTGGGCAGCGATGTCTTCGGCCTGGTCGAGACGCTTCTGCAGGGAGAAGAGGCGCTCGGGCGGCTTGGCTCGCCGCTCCTCTGCCTCCAGGGCAGCCAGGTCGCGCTTGGCTGCCAGGATGAGTGGGTGCTCGTCGTCGTACTTGAGCTGCTGCAAGGCCAGGAGCCCTTGGCGGGCGCGAGCCACGGCGGGGCTGACGAGCTCGCCTGCAGCAGCGTCACCAGGAGGGGGAGCGCGGCCACCAGCAGGAGGCCCTGAGCGACGGCGGCGGCCAGCGGATGCCGAGCGCGCGCCAGCGGGCGCAAAGGCGGCCTCCCGCTGCAGGCGTCCCGCGCGATCGCGGCCGCACTTCCAGCACGTCTCCCTGGAAGCGAAACTTCTGCGAAAGCCGCACAGCCGCGTGGAGGTGCAGGGCCACACAGGGCCTTGCCCTGAGCCAGACGCGGCTTGCCTCGGCGGCGGCTGGGCCATGCGGCCGTCGGCGTCGCTGGGCCGATCGCCGTGATGCCCAGCGAGCCGCCTCCGCGCGGCAGCACAGCAGAGCGTGAGCCTCGCGCGCGCACGGAGGCGCCGTGCGCGGCGATGCCACGCGGGGGAGCGGGATCGCTCCAGCTCCAGCAGCAGCGAGCGCCCGCCGAAGGCGGGCCGTTGGCGAAGGGGCGATGTCTCCCGGGCGCGGCGCCCGCCCGCAGGCAAAACGGCTGCTGGGGGGCGGGGCCGCGGGGGCGCCAAGCCACCGAGGAGGAGGAGGAGGAGGAGGAGGAGGAGGAGGAGGAGCAGGAGGAGGAGGAGGAGGAGGAGCAGGTGGAGGAGCAGGAGGAGGAGCAGGAGGCGGGAGGAGGAGGGGGGAGGGGAGGGGGAGGGGGGAGGGAGGGGAGGGGTGGAGGGGGGGGAGGGGGAAGAAGCTAGGTGCGCTCGCGTCATATCTGACGTTTTATCCCTCCCTCCCATCCCTTTCCATGGCGCGGATCTCCTTCCTATTCGCACAATCGGATGTCGTAGCATGGCATATAATGACATGGCATAGCATGGTGTTGAACATTGACGCGTAGCATAACGTAGCATGGCGTAGCGACGCCCAGTAATTAGGGTGGTAGGGCTTCTGCGGCCCAACAAATCAAATAATCGACAACGAATGTGCAATCACTTCCAGTGGTTTCTTCGGGAGGCCGCTTTTTAGATTTTGGTGCCTATTTGGAAGGACCGAAAACCATGCCGTGGTACGGCGCCGGAAATAATGACGCCAACGTTGCAGCGGGAGCACGATCCCGAACGACCGGAAGCGCGGAAATGAGGCCGGCGTTGCAGCGGGAGCGCGATTCAGAATGAGCGGTAGCCCGAAAATGAGGCCAGCGTTTCAGCGAGAGCACCATTTTGGAAGAAAAACGCGGAACTGAGGGCGCGTAGCCTGACATAACATGGCGTGGCGACGCCCCAAAGAGGGGGGGGGGGGGGGCTTTTTCGGCGCAGAAAATCAGCGGATCGGCACCGAATGTGTGATCAATTCCAACGGTTTCTTCGAGGGGCCATTTCTTAGATTTTGGGGCCCATTTGGAAGGACCGAAAACCATGCCGTGGCAGCGCTGCAGCTGCAGCGGGAGCACGATTCGGACGAGCGGTAGCCCGAAAATGAGGCCAGCGATTCAGCGATAGCAGCATTTCGTGAAAACAAAAAACCCAAGCGAAAACCCGTTCCCCGGGAATCTTGTGTGTAAGAAGCCCATACGCGGAGGGGGTCCTGCCATTTCCCGGACGCCACCAGGGGAGAGATGAGAGTAGTACTCATATTCTTTAATTGTGGAGGGGGAGGAGGAGGACATGGAACATTACAAATATCGTTATGTGCTAAACTGTTACCCAAACCCATCGTTTCGGACGAAGCGGCCATCTGCGAAATACCGGAGATTACGGGAGAGTCCGGTACCCCGAACAAGGACGTAGTTGGCGACAATTGGTCATATTTTTAAAGTAATCGGGATGGCAGAAAACAACTGCCACTGGCCATGCTGGAATTAGTCCATGAATGTTGCCACTGGCCGTGGTGGAGCGAGTCCGCGGGGAGGATGTAGATCCAGATGTCACAATCAGAAGTTTCGGCCATGCCTTGAAGGCCCGGGGAAGGTGGGCGATCTTGAGTGCCCAGACATCCGCCCCGGCTTCTGTTTTCTGCGGTCGACCGGGTTCTCTCTCCAACGCCCCCTCCCACCCGTGACTCTCGCGCTTATTTCTGTCATGCGCAGACGTCGGGGTCGTCCCAACGAGATGTTCCATACCGCGTGAAAGCTTGGCCTTGTGAGGGCGGCGTTTTGGCTTGGGGGCCGAATTCGCCGAGATGGTAAGGAGAGGGCGCGACAGGAGGATGGTTCTGGAGGAGGCGGAGGGGATCCAGGGAGCGGGGCCACCGCTGCATCGCTGGCCTGCGTGAGAATAATGGCAACTCCCCCAAATGGTGCGTTGCCTTCTGACCGAACAGCGGGGTTGAAAATGGGGTACCAACCGAGGTAGCGGCAGGCCTTGGACGCAAGTTTTAGATCAGGCGGGTCAACTGACAAGGTCTCTTGAGATGCGGGCATTCCTGGCTCATCTAACACTGGCCACAGACCCCGTTCCTCCTCAGGACGCGCACGTTAGCTGCGCAGCGCGCGTCCTGGCCGAGCGCGCTGTCCTCCGCGGTCGGTTTGCCAGTCCCAGGGGTCCTCTGAGGAGGGTTAATGCGTCTCGCGAGTGACTCTCGGGGGGGAAAGGGCACCTAAGGGTCCAGAGGTTCTCTGAGGGCACCTGTGGCCGGTTTGGCTACCAAGCCCGCTGGCCCCTCACGCTCCAGCGACCCCCTTGGACGCCGCCCCGGCCTCTGGCCTTGGGGAGGGGTCCCCGAAGGACAAGCTTGGGGCCGAATCTTGTCCCTGGGGGACCCCCCCGGGGACTGGGGCAGGGGAGGGGGGAGGGGAGGGGGCCCAGAGATCCGACCCTCCGACAAAAAATGGAGCGGCCAGTTTGGGGCTGTGTTCGGCCTCCGGAGGCCCTCGCCGGGCCTCGGGACCGTCAAAAACCGACTCAGGACGAAGAACCATCCGCCCCTACGCTCCAAGGAAGTGGTGCAGACCTCCTTGGCCCAGGCATCGACAAAAATTGGAGCGGCCAGATGTCTAGGGGGGGAAGGA